AAATTAACATAGACCCTGGCAGATAGGGTTTGGAAGACTGGTTTCCACTATAAATTGATCATTTTCAGGGTCTATGTTACCAGAGGGTAATAGGTACATCATCTATTTCTTAATGGGTCATGGCTTCCTAATCGCTATGCTAGTCATAACCGGGCGCCCACACACTCCAAGCACAAGCGCCGGAAAGCGTAGTACTGCGACGAAAAGACACAACGAAAACCAATGAATTTCCATGGCTAGGCCTAAATCCAATGCTGTTTTTTTATCACCATGTTTTTCATTTCATGTTGCCATTGTTTGGGGGGTCTATGGGGCTTCCGTCAATTTGATATCTGAAGAGTTTTCTACAACGCTTGGTGGTTGACCTACCCTGGTGGTTTCAACCCTACCCATCGTATGAAAAATGATGGAGTGAAAGTCAATGGTTGGCGGATGACATCCCATTAATATGAAATGGAAAATAAAACATGTTTGAAACCACCAACCAGTATATAGTGGTACAAAAAGCTATAGATCCCAACCATTAAGCCTTTATGTATGGCCATCGAAAAGCCATGATCAAATGCCACCATGGGATTTTTCGGAAGGCCACCTGGCAAATGATGAACGCAATAACACAACATACCCTCTGGTTATTCAAGATAGCTATGGAACATCCGTTATAAATGGAGGTTATAGCTGGGAAAATCATCTGTAAATGGGACAATTTCTATAGCTATGTTAAATAACCAGAGGGTAACGCAACACAATATCAATGAAATTGGCAATGAGAGATTAATGGGAATGGTTTTCGCAATTCACAAGCAGTATATACTTTTTACAGAAGGCTCCTTTGGGATAATCTATCCTAAACACAGAATCCCTTCGAAGCTTCTCATTTCAATTTGAGAGTCTTAAGCTTTGCCCGACGTTCACCGCAGGAACGAATTCCCCATGAAACATGAAACCGTATTCCAATAATTTTTCTTCCCCTAGATATTCCCAGAATATCCCATTGATCCAAAGCAAAACCATATATCGTTCCTCACCATTGATGTAATTATTAACATCTATCAACCATCATTTACTTCATCCAAACTTGGTAAATGAAGTATTTCACTAACCTGAAACTTGCGGCCATTTGGGGTTGATTCCCCTATATATTCACCATGATTCCAGGGTTCGGTCACGACGTGAGGTCACTATCATTTACCCAGATTTATCCCATTGTGGAAAGTTATATCATGGGTGTATCCCATTGTTATAAACAGAAATACCAAGGCTATCGTATGGGATAATATGGTACTTTCTATCCATCCCCCAATCCAACCATCATCAACCGTCATTGACCATCATCAACCGTCATTAACCATCATCAACCGTCATTAACCATCATTATCCATAGATTATCATAGATTATCCATAGATTTTGCATAGAGTATCCATCATTAAGCATCATGAACCATAGTTGATTCACCACATTCATCCCCCTCCAGGCTCCATTCATCTCGGCCTTGCCCACATAGTCGTTAATGCAGACCTCAGCGCTGCTGAGAGTTGACTCCGATGTCTCAAGATGTTTCATGGGTGCTCTGGGGGATAAGACATACATAAGAAAAACCGAAGTTTTTAACGGAACATCTATAGAAAAATCATGGAAGATCTATAGGAAACCATGGTTTAAACTGGTTTTAATGGATTGTTTTACGGAAAATGTCTATGAGACCATTGAATTTTACCCTCAATTTTTTCGGGGGTTCCTGAAATTGTTCCACCATTAAGGATTGACATAACCAAACAAAAAACATGGGAATGTTCATGTCTAACTTCCAAATACCTTCAACCAGGAGCCGGTATACCCCGGTATACTGTATTTACCCATTTCTGATACTTGGGACAATAAGACTACAAAAATAAACCACCCAGTTATCAATTTAGTCATTGGACTCAGATACTCCATGAAGGGAATATGAATCTGAACCAACAGCAACCAAGAAAATAGCCTCTGGTAAACTAACATGGCTATGGAAAATGGCCCACTTATAGATGGTTTACCGAACTTAAAAATGGTGATTTTCTATAGCTATGTTAGTCATTACCAGAGGGTACTTCCCAAACGCTGATTTTCGCCGTCCTAATTGGGAAACGTCTCCAGCAAAACTCCGTTCTCCACGAAGGAGCAGAAATAGTTGGGATGGAAACTAGTTGGAATTCAGGATAGAAACTAGTACGGGTAACATGAGCAGATAATTTGCAACAGGAAACTAGTTGCTGAAAAAAGGCTTCACTACTTTAAGATCGCTAGGTCCAAGGTTGACATACGATATCAGCGACCATATTATATTAATTGTACAGAAACTTGAAAACATGTCCCAAATTTTAGAAAGGTTACCCTCTGGTAATTTAACATAACTATGGGAAATCACCATTTATAGTGGATTTTCCCATTGAAAATGGTGATTTTCCATAGTTATGTTAGTTTACCAGAGGGTACCCTCTAGTAAATCAGACATGGCAATTTTTCATAATTTTTCACATCGCCCAGCAGGATGGTTTTCCCATCAACACCTACACTGACCGGGGGCCACGGAACTGATGACACCTATACCGGGTATGTAAAACAAGCAATCCCCGTGTTTTTGGATATCTTAAACAACCAATCAAAGGCCTTAGACTTATATAGACATCAACAATACACCTGTGCCAGCGAAATATTCAGAACAAGCAAGTGTCAACGAATGACTAACCCTTGAAAGTTGTCACATAAGCACTGGCAACAACCCTTCTAGATTTTTTTGATGCATGGTTGGTCACGGGGGATGTTTTACTTTATCTTTTGTGATATTTGACATATTCCTTACAAGAATATGACAGTATCCTCCCCTATCATCAATCACCATTGGAGGTCGCAAAGAAATTCTATCAGGCTTTCAATCCGAAAATCCAGCAAGAACTTTCCAGGAACTTAGTTTTAAGACTCTCGACATGCTACCAACCTTCATCAGAACCATCTCAGAACCTCAGCTTTCCTGGCAAGTGGTGGGATATGCCTCCAGCATGATTCTTTATGTGGACTTCAACTATGAAATGTCAGCATCAAGGTGGAAACCATGGGGTGTGATTTCCATATCAATGCTCTATGTATGGAATATTTACCAACATTTATCCTCTCACTGACCCAAATGTAGGGAAACATTCCATACATGGAGGCTATTTGCTAATGTACTGGAGGACAAAAAGACTGCATTGCTCCTCCAAAGACACCCCGCTCCCAGTCCTCCACCTATTTCTTTTTTTGGCAGCGCATTTATCGTTGTTCATGTGTGAACTGTCTGGGGAACTGTGAGAGGTCATTGGAACCCAACCCAGGAGAGTGTTTCAAGATCGAACAACGCAATACCAGAAAGGACATTATCATATTATCAATCAAGCATGACTTCAAATCCCCAAAACTGGGGGCTTGATCGCTTGATCCCTCATTTTGCACCATTCCAAGCAGCTTCGAGGCACTCAAACTATAGAATTCTTGGGCCCAAAGAAATCCAAACAGATTGGGAAAACAAACGCGCCATTGCCGCGGTCGGGGGCGGTGCTCCAAGCGGCTGCGGGCAATAAATATTAAGCCGCCTTGTCTTGTCAATGCAGGGCTGAATCCTGTTTTTCTTGTTCCGAACAAAAAACATGCAAACATACATATATATATATATGTGGTATATCTCATTATTATTATTGTTCTTATTATTGTTATTATTGTGACTATTATTATTATTATTACCCATAGGATCCATGTATGCTATATATATATGGTGTGCCATGGATCCCATCAACAAAAAACCCAAACAAAATCTCGATGATCCTAAGGGACAGCTTTCAGCTGGGATGATCCTCTGGGTTGTCGCATGTTGTGACCTGGTTTCTATAGGTTTGCATACCACATGGCATACTACATGTAACTTCAGCTGGTGAGATAGTTAGAGATCTATACTGGTTGGTGGTTGACAAAAACCCTCTGAAAAATATGAGTTCGTCAGTTGGGATGATGACATTCCCAATATGATGGGAAAGTCATAAAATTCCATGGTTCCAAACCACCAATCAGTTAGAGATCTATAGAATTCTATAGACATCTGCCCTGGCCGCTGAAACGCCGGCTTCAAATCCGCGATCCGTCGGGTTGAATTGAGGCATATTGAGGCGCAGGCCGCAGTAGGAAACAACATGTTTTGTGGCGGTCAAGGGGGAGTCAAAAACAAAGCTGAACGCTATTCAGTGTAGAACAACATGGTTCAGAAAAATAAAAAAAAATCCTCCCAACCATGCCGGTTGCTTTATGATATCGAAGCATTTTCATGCCAAATGGCTGAGCCAAAGGTTCACCAAAGGTTCCAACCATCAACTCAACGGGTCATGATCCAAGCAGATTTCATCCAGTTTCAACACATTTCTGGATAGTTATAGTCATGAACCACAGTAAATAACTAATTTCAGGGCATGAAATTGATGTCTTTCCCGACTTGAACCATCACATGTGGAACTTGAGGTCGGCATTGCATCGTTTTTGCCCTTGATTTCTCTGCGTGTATTGGGGCCATCATGGCATATGATCACGGGTCACTGACATGTTCGCAAACCACAAATCGACCATCATGTCATACCAAAAATCGATCGTCTCTCTCCCTCTTTGAAACAATCTATGTGGCTCAAGGGCCGGGAAATCTGCGGTCTGTGCACAACGCTTAGCAAAAGGTCGCCCGAGACACGTGTCGCAATGGTCGAACGGTTGCGTGCGTGCTGGGACGGGGTATTCCACAGCGGCAAAACAGTGAAGCTACGTGAAAATTTTGCCACCTAAGGTAGGTGGACATAGTTTCTTCATGAAACAAAATGGATACAATGATCATACTATCATTCATACTATCATTATCACACACAGTATGTCTATTTACACCCAACAACTCAATACAAATCAAAGACATTTGACTCTTTGTACCACTCTCAAGACACGTTTTCGAGGTTTGGTACAACAATAACCCAATTCCATGAAGAACATACTGTCTACGAAAAGGTGCCTTCCCATCATGGGGCACCAGCAGTGATCATCAGCGGACGGCGTAAGGGCCTGGGAGATTTCCGGGTGCAAACCTTGACATGCATTTTTTCATCAGCATGATCCTAAGCAAAACGAAACAGCTCAACGGAGACCTAAGCTGGTTGGTGGTTTCAACCCCTCTGAAAAATATGAAAGTCAGTTAGGATTATTATTCCCAACTATTGGGGAAAATAAAACATGTTCCAAACCACCAACCAGCCTAAGATATTGAAACAAAAAACTTGTCTTGCGCGGTTTCACGGCGATGATCACCCCCAAGAACCCAGAGATTTAATTAACAGGGTGATATCAAGAACCAGCACTGACGGTTCATGTCGACCCTGGATTGATAAAAATTCTGGGTGACTAATTAGGAGGATCCCTCCGCAAATAGTGATCATCTATCCAAAAATTAAAAAGGCCATAGGTTCTGAAGAAAGACGGGAGATAAATGGTTTACATGCAATGTACAGGTTAAACCCTACATTCATGAGGTTTGACAGCAACAGATAAGGATATAATGATAGACCACATCTGGTTTGAAAACAACCAAGCCTCTAGTAACTCTAGTAATTTGACAAATCAATATAAAAACCTATTGGAGACCCAATGAACATTGTGTATATATTTGAAATAAATATAATATATAGTATCAACCATTCCGACATTTGCTGCTTGGGGGTCATTTTAATTGTCTGACGAAGCATAGACAGCAAAAATCAATGTAGGACAAAACCTTTGGGGACGCCCCCAGTTTTGCAGGTTCTACTCCCAGTATTGCCCTCGTTGTTTGAGTACTAATTGGTGGTTGCAGCATGTTGGGTAAGCCGCGCAGGTTTGCTTCGCATCGATCAAGGTCTGAGCAAACACCGTGTTTTTGAGGTGAAAATGAACATGTTCATCGCCTTGAAGTGTAGCATTTCTGCCGTGACGGTTGTAGGGTCAATTTCGTTGCGGCTTGCGGGGCTCCTGTGGGACCAGCGGTTTTTTAGTGCCTTTGACGTTGCAACGTGAGATTTCTCGATAACTTGTTTGATGTACCTCGGCGTGGCAGGGCTTTCATTGTTTTCACTTTTCATTCAAGATCCACAGTTGCTTGTCTTTGACAGGTAATGACCATGAATGAAGGTGACGACATGGCAGCGCAGTGAAATTTCTAGTTTGCAACATGGCTCTACGATGCTCTACGCCTCTACGCTGGATTGGGGCACTTTCTACATCTGCCATCAGGCCATGAGGTTTTGCAAGAGCAGTGCCGATGCTGTGAGCTTGCCTTCTCAGCCAGTTACTCGGTCAAGTGGCATCTTATCCAGGAAGTCAACGTGCAGATCCCCCACTCGTTCATTGCAACCGCAATAATTATTCCATGACATATACCTCAATATATACCAGATATATCCAGATATATTTATGATCTATACAGTCTATACATAAGAAATATTAAGAAATACCCATGTCAGGATACATGTCCTGGAATCCCCCCATCTAAAATGAATGGCTGGGCCCATTTCCACCCCTTCCGCCATGGCGCGGGAGAAGCAGCTGCAGCAGCCAGCGCAGCAAGCGCCCGGCGGCGCCCGGCAACGCGTTGCTTCCGGCAGTGCTGCGGAGCCAGGCAGGGAGGCGCGCGTGCAGACGAGCGTAGATGGGCGCGGGAAGACCCAGATTCAGGATGGCCAAATAGGTGGACCTTAATCAATGGCCTTCTCCATTTTAGGATCCTGGAATTCCCATTGACTTAAGGCAGGGAAATGGCTTAGAATTTGGTTTCAATGAGCATAACCAAAGATTGGGGATATCATGGGGATTGAATGGATTTACAACCAAAGATCTGGGATATTTCGGGGGATAACAATATGGATCGCTATACACTTCGGGTATTTTGGCTTTAATGAGATGCAAGTTTTTTCTTTATGAATGGAATATATATATACAACCAATGATAACTGTTTGGGTCTGAAAATGAAGAAAATTGACCCAATCTATGGCCAGCAAATAGGAGGGGTACCACATGTTCAGACAAGTAGGAGGACCTTGGGCCACCGGGGCAAGGTGAAATGGACGAATGGGGCATGGTTGATGTTTTGATAGATGTGATCATCCATATAATTATATATATAATACATGGATACTTCCATATATATATATAATGTATTCATATATATATATGTTGAGGTTGAGGTCATCAAAAATGAAACATGTATAAGTATCATGATTAAATATGTCCTGATGTTTTGGTCTTCATATCATCATATCCCCAATCTGTCTTGGTCCATTTCTTTGTCAGTTTTTTCTCGCAGTTTTCCCCTCAAGTTCTGCCACTTGGACCAATGGTCAGCAACTAGATATGGTCCTTTTTGACATCGCTGAAATGGGACATTTCATCGGTCAGCTGATTACTTGTGCCCAAACCACCCAACCATGTACTGTTAGCAACCATCAACCATCCATATAAACTGATTAAATATGATTAAATAGTATTCAATTGATGATTTATACCACCCATCAACATATGATAAATTTGGGGATGGTGCTTCTTAAACATCGCCCAGTCCCCATTCCAAGCCACAGGGTGGACACGCCCGCATTGGTGACCGCTCGGACAATGGTCAGCGGCTTCCGGCGCACCCAGTGGCGCCAGACCACGGCGTAGAAGACCACGGCCAGCGAGGCCCAGAAGGCGCGCTTGCGCAGCTTCAGAGCGCGCGCGTCCAGGTCCGAGGGAAGGCGGAATTCGAAGAGTTCACAGAAGACCTGGGAAACCACGTTGGAAAACAAGGGCCAGGGTCGGTGGGAATGATATGGAACGAACATGAATTTGCTGTTTATGGAATGATCCAGTTACATAGTTCACTTTGCCCCCTACTTTACTAACGGTCTACAAGCGGGTTATGAAGCTTCACCGTCTTCACCCTGCTTAGCGAAAATGGGAAGATGATGCTGGAGAAATTTGAATTTAATGGATGGAGAGATGTTCTTTGCGAACCAAGATAGACGGGAGGTGTGCTTCTGGGCTATACAATGATATAAACTAATAAGTTTTGCAACCAAAATTAGGATGCAAACTGACAAAATACGGGAATATATATGTTTGAAATTCATCGAAAGGAGGACTGAGGAGATTAAGCAACAACAATGAGATAACCAACCAACATATGGGGCATGTTCAACTAACAGGAGATGCAAGTACTAAGCGAATCTACTGGCTCTCAGGCAGTGTGCTTTCCGGCTGACTCAGAGCGCAATGCCAACCATGACCATATCACTAACGTCTGTATGATATCCGATGAATCCCTTCTTCCCAATTATAAAACCCCCCCCCTGAACAATAAACACGTGGAGTTTTTGGTATTAGGACGTATTTAGTATTAGGGTGCGAAGCTTCCCCCTAATATTAAATTACAAACCTTAATACAAAAAACTAAGATTGTCTATTTCAAAATCGATTAGAACTCCTTTCAAAACCTAATTCAAATATTGCCAAAAATGGGTTTTCGAAGTTTTCCCCTAATATTATAATTAAAAACCTTGATATAAAAAATCAAAATGTTCTATTTCAAAATCAATTAAGGTTCCTTTCGAAACCTATAATAAAAAATATTGCAAAAAAAAAGATTTCGAAGTTTTCCCCTCAAATAAAATCAAATATAATAAAACCTTAATATAGAAAACTGTTTGTTTTTTCGAACTTACAAAACGGACCCTAATAAAGAACACCCTGGGGTTGACTAGTTTGTTATTAGGGGTGAAGAAACCCACAAATGGAGCCTTCATCGTTATATAATTTGTTGTTCAACAGGAATCAATTGAAAATCAAATTGGCCAGTCGGAAATTTCCCAAAATTTAACGTGGACCCTAGTTTTTAGTATTTGGGGGGTTTAGTAATAGGATGAGGGGATTATCACCTTTGAAACTCTGGTGTAGTACAGTATTGGATCTGTTTATTTTGGGTATTTTGGCATATTGGGGGCATCTAATACTAAGGGGGATGGGACATACATACCCTCTGGCGGCAATCAAACATTGTGTGCTAGAAACCTTACCCTCTGGTAATTTAACATAGCTATTGAAAATGCCCATTTATAGTGGATTTTCCCATTGAAAACGGTGATTTTCCATGGTTATGTTAGTTTACCAGAGGGTAATCCCAATAAAATTGGTTTATAAGCCGCACAAACTATATAGATCGATGTATCTATTGTAAAATCCCATAGTATCCTGACATGCCATGCCAAAGTTTCAAGTGTGATAGAGTTTAATACCCATTGTCTATCCTATAAATAGAGTAATATCCCATATAAGCTTAAAGATGATTTTGCCACTCCTCCATTCACAATTTTTTTTGCTTTGGTTCCAGCCGTGACTACCAAAGGGTATCCCATTATCACTTCCCCCAAAATTGCCCTATCACTTTAGTTCCTCAGCTCCGCTCCGCCTGAACAAAATCGTTCAATGGCTTCTCTGGTACGGCTTCCGGAGCTGCAGGTGGAACCACCTGCGGCTGGGTGGCTGCGGAACTGAAGGAGGCTGAAGCCGACGGCAAAGTTACCCGGTTTTTTGGGGTTCTGGATGTTCCATGGTCAAAACATTGTATATGGGTTATGCATCGATCTCATATGGGGGAATATTGGGGATCTTGCGTATAGAAATCCCTACTAACCATTGATGACCAATCCCTTCTAAGGGAAAACAACTCATGTGTTGACCATGACATGGAAATGGCTCATATTTATAGACGATTTACTGTACTGACAAAAAATAGTTTGATGTTCTATCGCAAACTGTTTAATTAATTACCAGAGGCTATGTGTTATAAATTGAACATTGATAGACGTTGTATGTATATACATATGTGTCTTATTTACGGATTAAACATTGGATATATGGTTGCTTAACCACCATAGCAAAATCCAGCTATATGTGTCTTGTAAGTATCTATAAATTGGATCGGTGTAGAAGCCACTTACTCAGTGGAAGCTGCACACCTAGTTGAACTATGGAGAAAAGGGTACAGGAAACCCACATGTTGCCATCTTTTGGAAGGTTAAACCTCCATGATGAGGGTCATTGGCATCCAAAATTCAGAAGTGGTGGTGGTATAGCCAACCCCCATTTTCTACATCTCAAATCAACAAATGGAATGTTTACCCCATTTTCTCCCTATCCCATGACGGATCCATGGTGCTGGTAGAAAAATGCTAACATAAAGAGGGTTTTTGTTGATGGGATCCATGGCACACCATATATAGCACCATGGATCCGTCATGGGTATGACATCAACATAGAAATGGCAGTGTGTCAAAACCTTGTACCCCTGGTGAACATCAAAATAGCTGGTAAATGGATGTTCATCCCACTAAATAGCTGGTATTAATAGGTATTGATCCATACCCAAATGGATCATGTTTGGAAGCAACAAATCATCACGATTTTCATGGATCCTCCAGCCGCACGTCCGAAACCTTGCGAAAGGTGGGATCTTTATCTGCAAGTTCCTGCAGCAATGCCTCAGAGGCTTCAGCCTGGCGGCGGTGAAATCATGGTACATGGGTAATAGAGTTACATGATAAACATAGCTTTATGGTAACTATATGGTTTATGGTTGAGATAACTATAGTATAAACTACGTATAGTTAATGGATGTGAATGGATTTTATAAACCAACTGATACCTCGGGCGGCACCATCTTGGGCCTGCTGATGGGGGTTGAGAACAAACCGCAGACCATTTTTGTGGGGAGATCAGCGGCTACGGCAATTCCCGAGGATCAGAAATGGAGCTGATATCCAAGGAGCAATTGGCACATCATCCAATGTAGGGCCAGCAAACAACATTTCCGTCACCACTTCCGTGTTAGGAATCTGTGCCCCACCAAGATCAATGGTGAGTCCACAGGTCTGGTTCCCACAATATTCCGACTCCGACCCGCAAAACTGGACCAAAACATGACCCAACCATACTCAGCCGAAAACATGTATTTGGCGTGGATTGTATTTCAACTTAATTCCTTAACCATGTTCCTTAGCATACAACAAAACAATGGTTTCAACATTAGTTTCAACATGTTTCAACTCCGGACAAAAAAAACTGCCCCCCAAAAGAACTACAAAGGTTTAGAATGCAACTTGCAAAAAGGTTTTACTTTTTAACTGGCAATGAAAAATCCACCGTGTAATGTATTTGGATGATTTTTGCAATTAAAAACTCCATTTATAATATTTTATAATCACTTGTACAGTTACCCTCTGGTAAACTAACGTAACTATGGAAAATCATAATTTTCAATGGGTAAATCCACTACAAATGGTCATTTTCAATAGCTTTTTGTATGTTTACCAGGCCGGGTAACCACGTTTCATTTCCGAAGGAATTTCTGTCGCCATGAATTGCCATGAATCCCCATGATATCATTATGATTTACTAACCCATGGGGATATTAATGATGGATAGAGATGGATAGAGATGGATATTTTACCAAGATATATATCATGGGATGATATCCCCATCCCCAAGAATTACAACCAGAACTTCCTATAGCTCCACACCTCCCCCGTGGCCAGCGCCTTGGCCATGCCGCGGCACATCTCCCAGCTCCGCTGCTGCGCCGCGCTGAAGCTCTGCTCGGACTCAGGGACCGCGGCCTTGGGCGCGTCGCCCTTGGTGGCTTGGCGTGCCAGGGCGCAGCAGCGCAGCTGGTCCTGGGGACCATGGGGGAAATGAAATGCACCCGAAATGGTGGCCAAATCAAGAGAATATGTGGTTTAAGCTGGATTCAAATTTCATTTTTGGTGATGTTAGGGATTAACAACTACTCAACTACTCATCATCCGTCGTATTCTGATGACACAGCCGTCCTCAAAGCCCAACATCAGCTGCGGTCGTTGAAGCCATCCCACAGCCGTGGCCAACCTCCCATGGATTTGTCTGCAAATAGGTGCCCTAAATACAGTGTCTGACTTTTTTTAAAAAATATTTTTATAGCTATTTAAATTGCCATTTGGGTGTTAGTTCCCTCTATTCAGACACACATCCATATGGAAATGGTCATAACATATCATATTCCTGGTACATCCATGAATAGTCTACATTGGGATGTTCTTCAACCCGATTTTCTGGTTGTTTGGTGCTTACCCGTCAAATGGTGAACAAAAGTAGCAAACAACAACACAACAAAATCCGTAACTGGTAGACATCGGATGAACCTGGTTCCATTTGAACATCACCCAACCATTAAGGGAAGCAGTACCAATAATCATCTTGTTTGGCAACGGTTCATATGATCCAAATAGGACATGTATATAGAGAAACATACACAAATAAGACCTAAAAATAAGATAGAAACGGTGCATTTACAATTTTATACATTTTACAACGGAATTAGCGAACGTCAGTTTTTTTGGGGGTTACAGTTTCCCAAGCCCCAGCACTTCACATTAAAAAAATGGGTTTGTCATCATTTTCCCATGATTTTCATGACCATTTGGACGGGTATATCATGTTCATCCATTTTCAGACACAGATCCATATTGAACCTCCCAGAAACAAATTGGACTTTACCAAACACACATTGGTACTTGGTACTTTTTTGTATACTTGGTACTTTAACAGAGCTGTTGAAATTGGATGAAATCGGTCCATTGATACAATCTATATGATCAAGCATTTTCTAACAAATGATGACTTTCCATAGCTATCTTAGTTTACCATGTTTACCAGAAGCTAATCCTTGAAATCTCTGTGAATTGAACCCCGAGCAACGGAGCGTCATGACAATTACTCGGGGCCTGTCGTCTGTTTCCTCATCGTCATCCTTGTAGCCGAGTAATCGTCGAACTTCGTTGGCCACTACGCAAAAGGCCTGTCGTTGGGAGGACTGATGAGACCACACATCTGATATCCCAGTTTCCACAAGACATAGACTTGGCTCAGGCAACCAGGCAACCCAAACTCCGCGGATATGGTTTCAAAGTCGGGCATTTTGACACTGTAAGACTGCCACTTAAGCTTGACATCATTTCATGTTCTGCCAATCCCCTCCCCCTCCATCATGTATCTTCAGCCCTTAATTCCAACCTTATCATCCAAATCCCTGGTACATAACATATCATCCCATCTCATAGCCTAGATACGCCCTCACATCCATAAGATACGTAAATATATCTAGATAATAGCTAATAGACAATAGATAATAAATAATGGATGACAAATAATGGGTAACAAACCACCTTTCTATAACCGATAATAGATAATATAGAGAATGGATAACACATAGCAGATAACCAATAATTCAAACGATATATATATTAACCCCATAAAATCATTAGTATCGTATCATTAGTACTCACTCGAGAATCTATTGTGATATGCCAATAGACTTAGATAGTTTAGTGGATAATCTCTATTATTAATCCCCAATTATTAATCCCCATAGATTCCCATGGAGGGGAACGAACCATACTCATATACATTGAGGGTTCAAGCAGCTGTAGACCCAAATCTCCCCCGCAGGCGGTTTCACAAACCTAACCCAAGCCATGCCTTTCTCTACCCCATGCAGGCTGTTACTCCAAATGATAACACGGGCCGGTAAGCTGCACCAAATGCTGATTCTCGCGAATCCATGGTTCGTCATCATCCCAGTCAGTTGATTCATCTATGGTGATCACAATGGGGACCCTGAATAAATAAACCTGATATGAGAATATGTTCGTCTGTGACTGGCCTAAGCGATGAAAGTCTGGGTTTGCCTGAAATAAGGCCCGCTGAGATAGCACAAAGGACATAGAATTGCAATTGTCGAACAGGATAAAGCCGTGAGAATCTCTGTCGTAATGTTGTAACTCAGCGGCCGTGGCACCCTGGACAGTTTGAATGAAAGGAGGCTTCTGGATATACGTAGGCAAAACGAAATGGAGGCATTTTGCCAAGGTGCTTTTGCCAGCGCGCGAAGGCGCCCGGAGCACAAGAAATTTGTACCGAGAATCTAAAATGGAATACTGTTTGGCCCAGTCTTCGACTCGGGCAACCACTTCTGGCAAAAATGGCTTTTGCAATGGCTGGAGCTGGGCCACCACTTCGGCCTGCTCACGTCGGAGGCGACTTTCGCTCTCCTGCTGCATGACTGCTTCCACAGCGCGTTTGCGGGTGATATAGCCCAAGCGCACCTGCAACCTGCTGCACACGGTGTTGACACTTTTATAGTGATAATTCTGGAGACATTGGCCCTCTTTCTGAAAATGCATCTATAGAATCAGAGACCCCAAGGTATTTTCAAGTTGACAATCTCTTTAGAATCGCTGCCCCCAAGTCACTCTCGTAGAGCCGTTTTTTGGTTGGGGGGGTTAGTTGGCCTTCTATAAAATCAGGCTCCCCAAGTGTCATTCATTGACAGCTGACCTGAATGCTCCAGTTGCTCTTGCCTACCTTACCTTATGCATTCCCAATTTTATAGAGCTCAAAGGCTCCAAGTGTTCACTGTCAACCTCTTCGATTATATACAAGGATGATCAATGATGATGAACGAATTGTTGTGGGAAATTTGTTCTGCCAATACTTCTCTATAGAATTGAAGAACATGACATACACCCAAAGAGAACAGATCCAACTATAGAATCGCAGTGGCTAAGGCTTTCTGCTGACTAGGACTCAGTGCTGTATTCAACATGAAATCTCTATAGAATCAGAGGCCCCAAGGTCCTCTATACAATTGAAAGCGTTGACACTGGGTAGGTACCCCTAAACAAAGCAGGGGGTTAAAACGCACCATTTTCCAGGACCCAACGTTCTTGATTCTGTAGAGGAAATTCCAAGGGGGATATTTGAAGGTATCTGAAGATATGTTACGGCCAAATTATTGCTTATGTTCGGACACGTTATCAGACTCGAAGCAGCACTTTTATAAACAACATAGGTGTTTGTGACGTTCCCTATTCTATGAAATGGACCTGCTATGAAGTGGTCCCACTGAAATTCACATTGGGTTTATGTTATGTTCCATTTCATACAAATCTTTTCGGAGTTGGTCAATATTCTGGTACCCGAAAACTGCCCGCACGCCACCCTTTCGCGAACCGTTCGCGCCCCAGCAGAATCGGGACAAGGAATTCTGATCATGTTTTCGTGCGCATATGTGTTTATACATAGTGGTATGCAGACCTCGTTGAATTTTAAGGTTTCTCCATCCCACTTTATTACTTGTATATTATGGTACCCATATTCCAGACCACATAAAATATGATAAAGAAACATTTATAGTATGGGTTTAATCATTTCATCCGGACATGGGTTCTTCCCTTCCATATAGAGCTTCAATCAAGGGGGATCGATAAACAGCTATTGACAAGTCAACTGCAATGACACCGCCTAAAGTGAGTCTTTGGCATCCGCACCCCTGGGTCCATGTATATATATATATAAATAGATATATATATATATATATCCAGAGATAGATATAGATAGATATAGAAAGACATATCTTTGTATAGATCTGTCTCGAAGAGATATATATATGTGTGTGTGTGCGTGTGTATCTAAATCTCTCGAAAAATGTCTCTATATATCTACATATGCTGATCGCCATGCAGCCATGGAGCGTCCAATAAATGTGGACCCTGATGTATCTCCGGAATGAAAACAATGCTGCTTAACCCAGGCACGCGTACTGCAGGTACTGCTGATGAGAAAGCTTGTGCCCACTCCACAGCGCATCCAGCCATCTGCCCTGCACTGTGTAGTCCTTGAACGCCTCGTAGGAGCTGGTGGCAACGAAATGGGTTCCTACCTGCACAGATCGCCCGGGTGAATTCCACCCAGCACTCAAGGCATGTCAGCCGAGGAAATGATCTGGTGGTGGGTCCAGACAATTAGATTAGATGTGATGCTGGCGACGAAACAATCTACATATGCCGCTTGCTGTCAATTCCTGTCTCTGCAAACGGCCATTTATCGCGAAGCAAAAAGTTTCTTTCGCGCATCCTTCGCGAACTGCATGTGTATCTTTCGCGCAACCCATGTTGAGCAATAACTCCGCTTATGAAGATTCAATCGGCACAGGCCAAATCACACCAAATTAGCACGGAAAAGTGCTTCATAGCCTTGCAAACATTGTGCTAGCATCACGGAATCCCCTTCGCGAACAGGTTCTTGCTGCTGAGGAACTTTTTAGCAAGGCTTACTGGGCCACGCCCTTCAAAATGCCCTTTAACTTTACCTAGTCTTTTGCAGCACTTGCGTGCAACTGTCGTGCAAAGACTTGTCTCCGCAGACCACAGCCAGGAGCACGGGGGGGCGGCAAAGGAAAAGCAAACACCAGGTGCCTTGGTGTTTGGCTCTTGCAAAGTGTCCCTGTTCGAAGCTTGGCTGCTGCATTTCGCGGTTGTTTCTTGAGACTTCAGAAAGCAACGTTAGGCAGGACCAGCGGCAGGTGCAAGGATGTGCTTGGCCACCATGGTATTTGGCTCTGGCGAAGCGTGACCTTCGGAAGCTGGCTGCTACCTATGAAGGGAAAAGCCAATGTGCGGTCCCAGTCTCCTGCCGGACCCCCGACAGCAGGGAGGCGGTGGTAGCCCTTAACAAGCGGTACTGTAGACAATGAGGATGATGCATTCTAGCCACCGTTCGCGACACTTCGCGAAGCAAACAGTTTCTGTTTCGCAAACAAACTTTCGCGCGGGGTCCCAGCACAAATGAACTGTGTTTGCAATTGAAACTCGTTATCAGGACCTTCAGATGGATCACCACATATATATGTTTATATGCAGAGATATATTTCGATATATCGATAGTGATAAATCTTGAATCAATGCGTACAAAGAAGAAGGATTGCCTATGCAAGACCAACCACGTAGATAGCGGTCCAATGAGTTCAGTTCATCCAAATCAGGCTCGTGGGTGGCCAGACCAAGGTGGCCTACAAAATGTTTGACTGCAAACACGATCTGCTGCAAAGCTGCCAGGTCTACTGATGATCAACTAGAAGCTACGTCATGCTGCTGCCACACGATCGGATTAGTGACAAAGGTGGCCTACATGAACTGCAACTTTCAACATGAGATAGAATGTCGTTACAAGGTAACCCAACGGAGATGCACCTTTGCAGCCCAAACGTAAAAATGTCCTTGGTCTGCCGCATCTCGCCAGCGTGCGCCCCGTGCCCGACATGGGGAAAGATTGGGCTGAATGCCCTTGAAACGGAGCGCCGTGCATGATTGCCAGTCGACGGGGCGGGCGAATTCCAGGAAGCAATGAATATGCAGACGGCCAGCATCCTCCGAACGCAAACTTGATTCCATCGTGGCACTCCATTTGCCGACCCACTCACACGTTGCAAGCCAAGTAAGGAACTCATCGAAATCCGCCAGCTGCAGCTGCAAGGAATTGTAGGTTACCAACACTGATCGTGCTCGAAGACGAAAAGGGCGGGCATCACCTGTGAAAAATGTGCAACAATGAAGTGGCTGCGACTAGGACTCATGACTATACCCCTTCTAGTTCAGTCTCTCCCATCTGCATGCAAGGCTGAGGCTTGCCTACTGTCACTGATGCATGTCATGTCCATCCCCTGCTCTAGGTCTCTTACCTCGGAAAGCACCGTCCCCGGATGCAGCGGACAGACACGCGGCAACTACTTGCCACCAGGTCTGACACATGGTGCACTGGCCGGTGCTGCCATACCATCCCCCATTCAGTCTTGGCCAGGTCAGAATGCTGCTGCACCCCACGCTTTCGTCTGCTGCTGGCAACGCCCACATAGAGTCAGTTTCACGGCGAGACGGGGGTGGGTGAGCAGGTGTTTGACTCGGAAATGTGTAGTAATCGAGCCCAGTGAGAACCACACGGGACGTGCACTTTTATCGACATC